ATATATATATATAAGAAATAACCCTTTAAAGCTCATCCATCTTAACCACCATGTTATAAGTATTCATAGTATGACTGACCTTATGATGAGCATGCATCAGAATACCGTTGAGTTTCAAAAAAATACTGAGTATCTAGCTTAACATTATATTTGTTTATATTACTGTTGATTTATATTATGCATCTGACTGTAAGTCTGCGTGTGTATGCATGTTTATTTTGGTGCGTGTGTGTGTGTGTGTGTGTGTGTGTGTGTGTGTGTGTGTGTGTGTGTGTACGTGGTGAAACGCCAAACCAATATACCAGGATCTAGACACTAAAGATGTTTCTATCTTATCTTATCTTATCTTATCTTATCTTATCTTATCTTATCTTATCTTATCTTATCTTATTTACTTAGTTTCAACAAAATACGTGGGTTGTTGGTGGGTGTTCTGATGTGGTTTTCTCCTTCTTTCCTATCAAACATCTTTCGTATTTATCTCTCCTCCTTTTTTGTGTGTATGTTACTCTCTTGTAACACATCTATTCTTCGGCACTTATGTAACCTTGTTGTGTTGCAAGTGCCGTAAAATTCTGAACTGAAACTAAAAGTACTAAAACAACATAATACCAACTGAGCTATTCGTACGCCTGTAACAGCTCCAGGATTAGGGGAAAAAACCCTCCCCAGATTGCTCATTGCTCATTAGTTTGTTGGGGTTTTTTTCTTGTGCGACGGTGCGTTACGCTTCGTGGATCAGGATAGCCGCCTTTGCTTCTATTATTATAATAATAATAGTAATATATCGTTGTTAGTTCTGCTCTGCATCTGTCTTCGAGCACGTTCACTCAATGACATGTGTATGTGGGTATGTGTATCGTAGTCTGGTACAGGCAAGCGCGCACGTTACACATGCTGACAAGGCGAGCGTGCACGTCACACATGCTGACACACACACGCGCGCATGCACACACATTCATACTCTCAGAGGCGAACACACACACACATTCACACACACGCACACACACACACACGCACACACACACACACATACACACACAATCACACAATATTCATAGCTGTGCGGTAGAGAAAGATATAAGGAGAGGGAGGGAAGGAAGGAGAGAGAGAGGGAGGGAGGGAGAGAGAGAGAG